TTTCGGGACTAGGAGACATGGGGAACTCCAGTTGCTGAAACTGGGCTCAATGATATCATTCTTGAGCATATAATCAATTTCATCTTTTATCAAAGCAGCTTTTTCCGGGTTAACTCTATAGGGGTGTTGTTTAATGGGTTTTGCGTCACCAACGTCTACATCATGAGGTGGAACCTTCGCTTCTTTGGGGACATCCCCAAAAATAGAGGGAAATGTCTCAAATAACTGAGACAATCTATGGCTTTCCTCTGTGGACAAATGCATAAGGTGGACATTCAAATTATCTAAAAAGGAAGAATTTACCAATTTCGGGGGTTTCAATTTATCATGTATCACATCATCAGAAACATTTGAACATACAGGTAAAGTAATTTTAGCTGTGGATTGAAAATTGTTACAATTATCATAATACTTTTTCAGTGAGTTGACATGATACACTGTCTGTTTCTTTCTTCTGTCGGGCGTATTGACAACATAGTTCAAATCACTTAATTTTGAATGCACAGTAAAGGGTCCACAATATCTCAAGGATAACGCATTGTTCAGATTAGGTACTAGCACAAGAACTTTGTCGCCTGGATTGAATGTTCGTTTACAAGAACTCTTATCATACAGTTCTTTCATTCTCACTTGGGCCTTTCTTAAGTTCTTGTGAGCCATTTCGCACACGGCTTTCAGTCGAACGTGAAAATCGTCGAAGCTTTCCACAGGATGATCGCTGGTACCTGTCCACCGTTCATGTATCAGCTTCAGGGGGCCACGGACAGAATGTCCAAACACAAGTTGAAAAGGCGAGTAGCCTAAAGAGTCCTGGACACAGTCCCTCGCGGCGAAAATAATCCAAGGAACAGACTCATCCCATTGGGTGTTACTAGTAGCGAATGTTCTTAGCATGGTTTTGAGGGTTTGGTGGAACCTCTCAAGTACGCCTTGAGACTGAGGGTGGTAGGCTGAGCTGGTGATGTGGGTAACGCCTAGCTTGGCTAGCGCTTCCTGAAAATGGTGACTGGTGAAGTTGCTGCCTTGATCTGTTTGCACGATTCTAGGTAATCCAAAGGTAGTGAAGAACCGGGTCATGGCTCTGACTACAGTCTTTGCCTTAATGTTCCGTAAGGGAATCGCCTCGGGAAAACGGGTACTTGAACACATAAAGGTAAGTAGGTACTCGTTGCCCGCCTTGGTTTTAGGCAAGGGACCTACACAGTCCATGACGATTTTAGAAAAGGGTTCTGCTAATACAGGAATCGGACTCAAAGGGGCCTTAGGAATTGTCTGGTTTGGCTTTCCGGCCAACTGACAGTTCGTGCAACTTCTACAGTAACGCGACACATCTTTTCTCATTTTGGGCCAAAAGAACAGTTCTTTGATCTTCGCCGTCGTTTTAGTGACTCCTGGGTGCGCTGACATTGGATGGTCATGTGCCAGCTTAAGTATTTCATGCCGATAAGGTGGAGGGACCCACAGCTGGTTTTTACCCAACCATGGTTCGGCTGGTGAGGCATTCACTGGTATAGCGCGACGAAAGAAGAGGCCGTTCTCGGAGAAATATTCTCCATCGTCAGATGATAGAGATTTTTCGACCGTTGCTTTGAGTTCCGCGTCGACTTGTTGAGCTTTAATGATGTCTTCCTGAGATATCCTCAGGGGTAAGCCCAAGCTTGTGTTTTCTGGAAGCATAGACTCCAGTTTGGGAGTCGAATTTCTTGACGATGATGGTAGATGTGGTTCAGACGTTGTGTCAGCCAATTGTTTGGTCTGGCTTCTTGTCACCGCACATGCAGGATACAGTTCATAATCATTATCTGGAACTGTTGACAAAGGGTCTGAAACCGTACAGGGGTATACTTTGCTTCCCGCAAGGTCATTCCCTAGAAGTAGGTGTACTCCTGGGACAGGAATACTATCTATCACACCTAAAATGACCTCACCTTCGACGAGATGATGTTTCAGAGCAAACTTGTGTAAAGGGACGACAGTTGATTTTGTCCCCACTCCCTGGATAATGGAAATCCTTCCGGTGTTCGTCTCTGGTGAAATGTCCATTGAACTTTTCAAAAGGAGAGATTGTGACGCTCCTGTGTCTCTTAGAACGGTGATATTCTTCTGAGACAACGGATCACCTGGTTTGCTAATGATGGCTTCGGCAATAAAAGATGAAAAGTCAACTTTTCTCGATCTCTCGAGATCGGTAGACTCGGAAGAAACTGGATGGTGGCGAGAACAGTCAAAATGTGACTGCACATAATGTGTGGAGACTTGACTACCTTCTTGCGGACACTTAGGGTTAGAGTCCTTTTGGATTCTAGAGTTCATAGTTGAACTGGCTGCTTGAGGGGATAGAGCATAGTGCGCGGAAGTACGCACCACCTCTCTGTTATTCTGAAGACGTTTGTAACAGTCCTTGACAAGATGCCCAGACCTTTTGCAGAACTGGCATACTGCTCGACGATTGAGAGTTGATCTTGGTTTCTCTCTGGACTGTGCTGCCTTCAAATGTTGGCCAACAGGATGATTGCTGCCAAAAAGGGGAAGCACAGGGTTGAGGCGGTTTCCTGACACTGGTGGTTTCTTATGCACCAACATATATGTGTCAGCCGACTCAGCAGCCTTCTGGATGTCAGTTATCTTGTTATCCAGTATGTGTAGTCGTATCTCTTCAGGCAGGGACGATAGGAATTCTTCCCTTAGGATAAGAGACCTGAGTTTCTCAAACTCAGAAACTTCCTCAGAGTGTAGCCACCTTGAGAATATTTTCTCCTTTTCAAAGAGAAATTCCACATATGATTGTGTGGGTAACTTGCGGAGTGTTCGGAATTTTGTCCGATAGGCCTCGGGCGTCAGTGCGTAGGCCTTCAAAATGGCAGTCTTGACCAAACTATAGTTATTTTGAACGTCGTGAGAGAGTGCCTGGTATGTTTTTGCAGCTTTCCCAGTAAGGACAGAGCTCAATAAAGCAGTAATGGAAGTTTCGGGCCATTCACATGTCTTCGCTAAACTCTCGAACGAGTTAAAGAAAACGACCAAATCTGTTTCATCAAATTTAGGAACTAATTTCCCAAATTTGGCAATCACTTGCCCTACCGACAACTTTTTTGGATCTACCAGAGAAGTGACATCACTAACTTGACCAAACTCTAATTCCAACCTCCTCTTATCTAAAGCAATTTTAGCCTCTATCTCCTGTTTCTCTAAAGCAACTTTCTCCTTCTCTAGAGCAATTTTCTCCTTCTCTAAAGCAATTCTAGCTTCTAATTCTACCTTCTCTAGAGTTTTCTCCTCGCGGAGCAACACACCAGCCAACAAACTTTCATCAAATACTCCTTCATTAATGAAATGAACAACAATTTTATCTCTCAATACCTCTGACTTCTGCGTAACAGAATAATCCAATTTCAATTCCTTAACAACACTAACCAAAACTTTTCTACTCAACTTTTCTACATCTTCAACAGTAGGATTAGCCAAAAAAGACTCCATAACTCTAACTTGAAAATCACAACAAGCCTAGATTCTTTAAATTAATACACAGCGTTGGGCCGTGTACTTGACCTCTAAATGTAGGACGTGACACGTCTGCTAATTTGACCTAGATACTCTAGCCTGAGCGCGCGTTGTAAGAACACTGCGCTACTGGATATAAAAACAACTAAATCCAACTAACCTTAATATTCAACTGATATAACCAACAACTGGAACGACAGATTAAATCCCGGACGGGCCCCCACTTTGTAACGTTAACCTATCTATCAGCTAAATAGAAGGAGAACGTCCCCGGATTCTTTTTTCGGGGTCATATGCAAATGCCTTACGGCCTAAGTGGATGAACACTTAACACAACGACCCACTAGGGCTCGAATTTAATGTCTAGGGGAGCTAGTGATACTGTTGTAATTAACACTCATCCAATCTACATACGACCTTTTAATCAGCGAACTCAGTTGTGGCAGAACACAAAGATGAACTAGATAAAATATTTAATGTATAAAATATCAAAACACAACTTACAAAATGTAGGAAAAATCACTATCACAGATTTCTACACTGTCAAAAGAACAGCCACAGGCCACACAACACTGCTGTAGCTTCAGGAATTACTTAGCGACAAGTAATATTAAACTAGAAGACTAAATCAACTTAAGAAAGCAAGGCACACACAGGTCTTAAGTACTCTCACGTTCAAATGGTCAGAGTCTATAGCCGGACAATATGGACGGCTGCCTGAACGAGGTAAAACGGCCCCGTAGACTACCAGGTCAAGAAAAACTGCCTCGTGTTGCGAGTGTGCAGTGCAATTAAAGACTTCTGTGACAGGGGAGGTTATCCTCAACTCATGTCGCCATTGGTTGGGATAATCATCTGATCAGAATCATTCAATCAGATTTTAATGGAAAATTTCTATGTCTCAAACACCTTAATAAGTCAGTGGAAAAACCCCAGGTGTTACACCATCATTCCATATAAGGAATTATACAATGTCAAAATAAAAATGACTCGACCTAAGTAGGTCACAACTGTTAAAAACAAATATCATAATTTACATAGGCCTAACTTTTACTTGTGAACACTTGAAATATAAGATATTACATTATTTATTTTTAAAAGTATATTTTCTTAAAAAGGTGGTAGGCCTATTTATTTATTTATTTTGTAACAACTTCTGAAAGTAATTTGTTAAAATATGCTATAATTAGGAGTTAATCCATTTACTTAGTGTGTCATTTTCAAAATGAGGTTTCTATCTTGGTAAATCAACATCTTAGCTGGAAATTCTTAATTGAGCTTAGTAAAATCATTTTACTTCATGTCTTAAAATAAAATTTAAAATATTAATCTACATACTTTTACTTCTTACTACTTCGTACTTTTCTATCATTAAAGCCAATCTGCAGTCTATGGAAAACTTATTTGAAGTATAATCAACTGAACACAATCATTGAGAGAAAAGTCTGAATGTATGTATGGTTGTCTCTGACTGATGAACTGATGATTTTGTTTTTCAGAAGCTGGTGTGCAAGTTGTAAATATTAAACGACGTGAAGACGCCCTTAATGTTTATCCAGATAGCATAACAAACCAATCAGAGCGACCACTAAGCACTTCTACAGACCAAAAAAATACAACCAGTACCGACACAACAGATTCAGCAGTTACACAATCTGGCAACATGATTGAAGCTGTTGTTGGTGAGGCTAAGGACTTTAAAGATGGCCAGTGAGTTAAGTTTTACATCACAGTTATCTTCCCATGATATAAGATATTCTTAACTAAAGATATTCTGGTCTTGTAGCTCTTTTGTTCCTTGTTGTTTATTCAATGATTGTCACTTGGCTGTTACCATCTACACAATATTTTCTTGGTTGTTACTACTCTGACAATGATAAAGCTCATGGTTGCTAAACCGAAAAGTCTCGAGTTCGAACCCTCGGGCAGATGAGGCTCGTTAGCTGGGGACAGCCACTCTTCTAGGAGAGACAACTCCAAAATTAAACAACTGCTGCCTTGTAGTTTGTTCTTGGTTGGACAAAGGCTATGGAAGCAAATCCAAAAAGAAAAGCAGGCTGAAATCGGAGTCAATGGCCTCAATGGCGCATAACCAGTTAACACGTAACGCTTAATTGTGTTGGAGGCGTGGTTGAGTCGGCAAAAAGCACATGGTTGATATATTCGAACAAAGTCTCGAGGACAAACCCACTGGCAGATAAATCTCGATCCCCTTCAACACTAATAATTAAGAACGAAGAAGAAGAAGAAGTTCAATGATTGTCACTTGGCTGTTACCATCTACACAATATTTTCTTGGTTGTTACTACTTTGACAATGATTTTTATTACGTGTTTGTTACCATTGCACAATGATATTTACTTGGGTGTTACCATCTACACAATGATATTTACTTGGCTGCTACCATCTTGCAATTTATTACAAATTCTGTTAAGTTCTAAAAGTTAACCACAGATATAATTATTTTAATTAATTTATAATTTATGTTAAATTTTTAGTTAAATATTCAATTTTATTCTGGTCTACAAATTTTATTAACTTTTAGAATTAAGCTTTTAAAGTTTTACAACACATTAATTTTTCTCTGCTTTTTATGTTTAACTATATATTTCCATTCAACATTTCTTTTAAATTATTTTAACACCAATGTATTTTTTCTGTTCCAAATTAAGTTAATTGTTTTAAAGAAATGTTCCGATGGCTTAATTATTCATGTACTCTCTCACCACCACCACACAGCATGCAAGAAGTGGAAGTAGGGGATCAGAAAGTTCTGCTGGTAAAAGAAGATGGCAGCTTTTACGCCATAGGCAACAAGTGTACACATTATGGTGCCCCTCTCTCCAAAGGTACATTTTTACTAAAATTGTATTTGATCTTACATGTAGCAAGTTAGGTCTAGTAAATTTTTTTTACTATAAAATAGATTCACTACCTGAACTTAATTAAAACTAGTTTTGATTTATATAGTGAAATTTTAAAGTGTTGATATTTTTTAAAATTTATAAAATCAAATAAGTTATCTCTCCTTATGCAATGTAGTTTTGTAAATAAAAAAAACCAATTCCCCAGGCGCCTACTGTAAGGGTGTGGTACGCTGCCCCTGGCATGGTGCATGTTTTAATGTTAAGACAGGAGACATTGAGGATTTTCCTGGTCTTGACAGTGTTCAGAAATTCCAGGCAAGTACAAATGCTGTTATATTTATATAATCATCCAGAAACATGGTTACTATTTGTTTCATGATAAAATTTCACCTCTGAATTTACATTTACTTTTTAGTTCAACTTTGTTTCATCATCATCTTTTCCCATTCATGCCTAAGAAACACTAGGTAAATAAGGTAGATTTCACCTGTTTCAATTACCTTGGCATAAAGGATAGTGTCATCAACACTATGCCCAGCCACCTTAGTTTTCCTAAGATGAGTCAGGTACCCATCAGAGTTGGGTATACTCAAGTCATAGATCCAAACTTGAGACTTTCAGGTTAGCAGTTGTGAGCTCAAATATCCAACCACGCTATCCCAACAACTTCTAACAATTATTTTCTCAATAGTATATTTAACCACATCAACTTTAAAGTTTTAGCAAACACAATGAACATGAAAGAGGGCATGATCTTGTGTGTGCTTGCAGGTGGAGGTGAAAGATGGGAAGGTACTCGTTAGAGCTGACCCTGCTGCCTTAGAAAACTCAAAGAGAGTCAAACCAATGGTGAAGAAATCTTCAGACAACAACAAATCTGTTGTGCTGATTGGTGGAGGTAAGAAAACAACTGAATTTATTGCTTGAATGCTATGGATCACTGTATGGATTTATTTGAATATTTTCTGATCTTTTTGTTTCTAATTTTTTAAAGTTTGCTTTTGAATTGTGTACATGTTGTGTTACTGTAGGTCTAAGAAAGCCTACCTCTGCAGTTGAAGAGTATATTCAATCTATTTTATAGGTCTAGCAGAGTTAACACTTTCAGTGCCTGGATGTTGAATTATATTTTGTGAGCTGCTCTTTCTGTACTAGAATATTGAAATGCTTTTAAACTGTTTTTGTGGGTCCAGTAAAATTAACCTTTTCAATACCAAGATATTGAAATATATATTTTGTAAACTGTTCTTTTAAGTCCAGGATAGTTAACCCCCCCAGTACCACACTATTGAAATGTAATTTTAAAATCTGTTCTTGTAGGTGCAGAAAATTTAACCCTTTCAGTACCAGGCCATTGAAATATATTTTAAAATCTGTTCTTGTAGGTGCAGCAAATTTAACAATTTCAGTACCAGGACATTGAAATATATTTTAAAATCTGTTCTTATATGTGCTGCAAATTTAACCCTTTCAGTACCAGGCCATTGAAATATATTTTAAAATCTGTTCTTGTAGGTGCAGCAAATTTAACCCTTTCAGTACCAGGCCATTGAAATATATTTTAAAATCTGTTCTTGTAGGTGCAGCAAATTTAACCCTTTCAGTACCAAAACATTGAAATATATTTTAAAATCTGTTCTTGTAGGTGCAGCAAGTTTTACCCTTTCAGTACCAAAACATTGAAATACATTTAAAAACCCTTTCAGTACCAGGATATTAAAACATATTTAAAAATGTGTTCTTGTAGGTGCAGACAATTTAACCCTTTCAGTACCAGGACATTGAAATATATTTAAAAATCTGTTCTTGTAGGTGCAGCAAGTTTAACCCTTTCAGTACCAAAACATTGAAATACATTTAAAAACCCTTTCAGTACCAGGATATTAAAACATATTTAAAAATGTGTTCTTGTAGGTGCAGACAATTTAACCCTTTCAGTACCAGTACATTGAAATACATTTTAAAATGTTTTCTTGTAGGTCCAGCAAGTGTGGTCTGTGCTGAGACACTCAGACAGGAAGGGTTCACTGGAAAAATTGTTCTGGTCACTAGGGAGACAGCACTTCCTTATGACAGGATTAAACTTAGCAAAGTTTGTTTTAACCTTTCACTATTTGTTTCTAAACATTTTTATAATTCTCATTGTAAAGATGTAGAGGGGGTTCTGACTTCTCTGTCTTTACTTGGACTATATTCTGTACCTTTGTCTACCCTTGGCGTTGAAATATCCTTTTCTGTTTACGTTGCTATTTCACTGTAAACATCAAGATTAATTTCCTTGTTATGGCCTATATTAAAATTTAATATAAAACATTCACCTTACTCTTCAGGCTTTGAGTATTAAACCAGAGGAAATAGCTTTGAGGAATAAAGACTTCTATGACAGCCATGATATAGAGCTCAAGTTAAACACAGAGGTAGTGGAGAAATAGATTTAGCATAATGTTTTAACTTGTGTACCTACTTGATATATCTGCCTCCATAATGGGGGATTGTAAATTTACCATGTCTGATAACAGTTAAATATTTAAAGCTTAAATGCAATAAACAATCCTGGGTTGCACACATTTGCAAGGGAAGTAACTGCTGACAGGGCATCCTGCTGCCATACCATCTATCTATCTATATACTACTAAAAGTCAAGTTTGTTTACATGTTTGAATATTTATTTGTTTTTTTGTTTGTCCGATCGAAAATTGTGATATGTTCGACTCTATCTGGAGAGCTGTAAAATAGTATGTAGGTAGAGAATAGTTTTTTAATGCAGACTGTTAATCACAAATTTATTTAAAGACGTTAATTAATTAATTGATTTATTCATACGTAGAGTAACCCATTTTTTTTTAAAATGTTAAAACATTGACTAAACTTTGTGGGAATAGTGACGTCACAGGTTTTTGTTTACTCTTTAGTACAATAAAATGGCGGCGTCTATCGAAGAAAATTGTGTTCCCATTCAAAAGTTTAACGCGTTCTAAATCTAATTTTCTGTCAGTCATAACTTTAACAATACGTCCGTTTGCTGTATTTATTACGTTCCAACACTTCTATCAATTTTCAACTGTCTTTTTTCATTTAGTTTTACAATAAATTTCTCTAGATCTACAATTTGTCCAAGAAAGTTATTTATAGACCTAGAATCTAGAATCTAAATCTAGGTCAAATCAAAAATTTATTAGTTATAGATCTAGATCTAAATACAAACCAAAAAAGAAACGAGACTTAAGCAAACCAGTCGTAGATCTAGAATATAGATAATTCTATCTAGATTTAGATAATAATGAGTTTCTATATATTAAAATATTTTAGACCTTTATTATTTTGTATAAATCTTTGTTTCGACTATGCAAATTTTGAAGTGCTGGCTCCAGGGCGTAGATCTATTTGCGTAGCTTAAGATTCATACGCTGCTTCTATACCGGTAATTTTGCTAAATTATAAACGTAAATTCTAAATATAGCTCAGTCGTTGATCTAAAATATAGATAATTCTATCTAGATTTAGATAATAGTGATTTTCTATATACTAAACTATTTTAGACCTTTATTATTTTATATAAATCTTTGTTTGGAATATGGTAATTTTGAAATGCTCGCTCCGGGCCTATCAGCGTAGCTAATGATTAGATCTAGATCTAGATCTAGCAAGAAAAACTAAACTTAAGACTTAAGCAAGCGAGTCGTAGAATCTAGATCTAGATAATTCTATCTAGATCTAGCTAATTTAAGAACTTCTTTATTTTATATATATCTTTGTTTGGCTGATTTAAGATAAAATTTAATTTGAAAGTTACTACAACTACTACTAGACTTAGATCTAGATCTATGCGCGTAAATCATGTTGCATAAGGAGACTCATAGTATTGTATAAAAATTCACGGTTGACGTCACGAGTAAATAGCTAAGTTGGTAGCGTAGCCGGCTCTCATGCGCGTGGCATAGGTTCTAGACCAATATGTTAATAATTTTTTTTTTTTTTTCAATTTTTTTTTTTTTTAGATGTGAATGATAAAGTTGCCTATCTGAACTTGGCAGGATACAGGGCAGGTGAAGTAGAGTTCATCTGTTTCTTTGTCCTAAGCATATGAAAGGATAGTGTGGTCAGAGACATGCGCGGCTGGAATCGTTATTTAAACGATAAAAACATGTCGTCTGAGACTTGGCGGGGCACTGGGCAGGTGAAGTAGAGTTGAGTAGGTCACCTGTGACGTCAGTATATGAAGGGATAGTCCGAAATTGGTGTTTTTAAAAGATAAAAAACATATTTTTGAATGTGGGGTCTGTTTTTTGTGACGATAAGTGACACTGCAGTAGGAGGGGGGCGGGAGGGGGAGGGGAGGCGGGGGGGGGGGGAGGTGGAGGGGGGAAGGGGGGGGACATATGTTGGGGCGCCAAAATGGTTTGGAAAAATAAATTGAAAGGTTGAGGGGGGTGCAAATCGAAAGTTTGAGTGGGGGGGGGGGGTGCACATCAAAAGTTTGAGGGGGGGGTTGCAAATCGAAATCTTGCGGGGGGGGGGGGGGGGTTCAAATCGAAAAGTTTGTCCCCGGGCGCCGGGAAGGGTCGCTATGCCTCTGAGTGACAGACGTGATGTTTTTTTGATGGATGACCCCGAAACCCACAGTTATCCAACGGATGACGGGTATTCTAGTTAGAATTAAAACTTTAGTTATCAAAGCTTAACCCTTATCTGGCTGGAATCTCAAACACATTTATCATTGGATGATGTTTAGCTTGTCTTATCTTGTATTTTTCATATTTCAACATTCTTGTTTTGTTGTAAGATTTGAACACATTAACCATAATCATTAATGACCCATTCATTCTACCAAAACACCACCCTTGACATCCAAAGGTAAGGAGAATAACTCTGTATAAACAAGTGAACACTTTCACAAAATATTCGTTTTTGTCTAAATGAAATTAATAATTAAGATAAAAACTACTGCTTTATGTTGGAATTAAATCTGGCTTTCCAACATTATTAAATAGAACATAATATATTTGGTAGAAGAACAATATAAAAAATTAAAAATGCCAGAAAAAATCCTAAATAGTTTATTTTCGGTAGTCAACTATTTATTTTTTCTAAACAACTATGCATCGAATTTAACAGTTAAATATCAATTTGGTTATGTTTAAGGTATATAAATTTGTAAAATACATTTCTAGATAAGTTTTAAGCCATGTTTTTCTTTTATTTTTAATTTTAAATCACTTAAAATAGGACAGATGAGTCTAAAATTTTGGGATAGAAAGAGACTAATATATTTCAAAATCGCCATTAAAATTAGTAAACTGGAAAAGAATGCTGAAACTATTCAACTTCCTGTTTAGTTAAAAATTTGGAATTTGTAGGTAAAATTTTTATGAAACAAATTTTATTTTGTTACGCGTATTGTAAGCGCGTGCAATGGGTCATTAATCGTTTAAAGTTTAAGAACATAAAAACAACACTATTTGGCATTTCAACATGAAATAATTAAAATGGCTAAAGAAATATTCATGCCAAACACTTTTGTGGAATAAGTCCAAATAAAGCATTAGTTTGGCTATCTAATTAAAAGAGAATTGTTTTTTAAAATTAGGTGACCAAGATAGTTCCAAGTGAGAAGAAAGTTGAGCTACAAGATGGCCATAGCCTAAAGTATGACACCCTGGTGATTGCTACTGGTGGACAGTGAGTGGAAACGATTTAATCTTGTTTCCATTTTTATTGGTGAAACAATTCAAAATTGTCAAAATTGTTATTTTAACATTAAAGAAATTTCTGGCATCTAAGTCAACTTATTACATAGGAAAATCATGTCAAATGTCTGGGGTATTCTGGGAGGTTCTGGATTTTACAGCTAAGGGGGATTGTATACCAGACTATATTTTAACTCTTAAAGTTTGGGGGGTGGGGAATCATCTTAACACAAGTAGTCTCTTATGCCATAAAATACTGTATCTGTTTTTACTGCTTCAAGCAAATATTGTGTTAGAAAACCATCATGATGTCAACATGTTGTCCTTCACTCAGGCCCCGCCTGCTGCCCATCCCAGGGGCTGATCTGAAGAATGTTTACACCCTGCGAACACCACAGGATGCCAACGCTATAGCTGAGAACTCACATGGCAAGAATGTCGTCATCATGGGATCCTCTTTTATTGGTACTTATCCCTTGTCTAAACCTTCTTCATACTGCCATGCTAATCTCTGGTGTTTTGTTGTATTGTCAGCCTACAGGAAGTCATAGTTACAGTGTACAAGTGTTGGCTTAGCTGTTGTCATTTTCAGTTGGTTAACCCTTAGTGTAGAGATAGAGTGTAGCCACTTCCCAGCATGTAATTAATTAAATGTCCGTCTACATTAAAACCAGTTGACCACTGAGATGGTTTTTTTTTTTGAGATACATCTTCACAATTGTTCACGGTTTCATGCAAGAAAATTGAAGTTAACAAAATTATGATAAACTCTTAACTAGAAACTTTTGTATTCATCTTCAAACACTGTTTTAAATTCTATTTGCTGTTCTATATTTCTCGTAAAAATACCCTATTTTTAAAAATACTGTTTTAAAGTGAAAGGTTAAATAAATTATGTTCTATGTTCTGGCTTTCTAATGCTTTGATAATCATTTTTGTTAAATATCTTCTGATCTTTGTGAACTGATATTTCTACTTAAACTTAAAGTGTAAAATATTTATCATAACTGAGATTTCACATAATTCTATTTCTCAGAGTTAATTCACCAATACAGCTATTAGTGGAATATAAATATGGAAGTTTAAATAATTTGCTTTGATCAAATAATCTAAAATGTTGAATGTACAAAAAATAACTACTCAGAATTATCTTTAATAAAAACACTAAAAAGTATTCTTTCTTTTACATCATTGTTATTATGTATATCTCACTCCTCTTTTTAAAAATTAAATGTACTCACCTGTTGCAACATATGGCCAGATAAAATTGACATTAGTTTGCAAAACAAATATGCCACAAATGTTTGACTAACTCAATTGTAGAGAGACTAATGTAATCTAGCTCTAGCAGTTAGGACTTTATTAATGGTGATTTTATTACATCTTCATGTCCTTGATAAGGCATGGAGGTAGCAGCATTTCTTGCTGATAAGGCTGCCAGTGTGTCTGTGGTGGATTTGGTTCAAGTCCCATTTCAGTTGACCCTAGGCCAGGAGCTAGGCACACACATGAAGCAGGTACTGCAGTGTTTGAATGGTAGTGTTGCCGGGGGCAACGGTCAAGGTTGTACATTAAAGCCTGTGGCCTTTTTAGCATGCACCATCTTCCCTTGGACCTGTTCTTGGGATCACCAAATAATTTAAATGCAAATAAGTCAGCTTAAAAGTAAAACTTAACTGATCAAATGTTAAAAAACAATGATTAAGATAAAAAAAGTGAAAAGATGCTTTGTTTACAAGTATTTCTTTCTTTATCATAAGCAATTTCTTTCTAGCCAAGTCTTCATTTTATTCAAATTATCTAACATGGTTGTGGTTTTGTAAACCTGCTTTAACCTATGGTGCTGTAAGTGTCCTATTATTATACTCCTATCTTGTCTGTTGTTTAATGTAGTCAGATGTTAATAACTATTTAACAGAAGCATTTACTTGCTACAGCTTGCATAGAAGCCAGTCCTAAAAATACTAACACTCCTATACATTACATTGTAAAACACTGATTGTATTCCCACAAGTTAAATTAACCAAAAGACTTGTCTCTTCCCATTTACCCAAACCAATTAACTTAATTATCATTAAACTCATATTTTTGTATTCTAAGAAACTGTTTAAATACTTTTTATTGTAATCAGTTTGATGATACCATTAACTTAATTACCATTCATTTTAAACTAATATTCTTGTATTCTACAAAACTTTTGAAATATTTGCAATCAGTTTGTTGATACAAATAACTTAATGCTCATTTATTGTAAACTTAAGTTGAATTACACTAAATGAAAATGGCTGTAATTTTTGTAACCAGTTTGTCTCTTGGAAATTTGCCTTCCATTTTTTAAACCAGGCAATATGATGAAGTTTCATCAAGTCCTTACTAATTCCTTTAAGTAAAAAGATATAAACAATAAAAAAAAATTATACTTGATCTCTCTGTATTTAACAAACAAATACACATTGCTAAACACATGTAAAATGCTGTTTGCTTTGTTTTTATTTTATTTCTTCCAGGATATTTTCCCCTACTATCCTTTTCTACAAATAATAATTTGATTACTAACCTTGATTGTTTTTTTTATAAACAGGCTTCATGTTTTAAAAACTTTGTTTAAAATAAATAAAATTTAAATGTGACAGTGTTCCAATTTGGTATACATCAATTGTAAATCATTTCTTTAAATATGTGAGTGTTAAAACAAAACCACCGCAGCGTACCCCTGCTTTGACTCCTGTTTAACATGCTCCTTGTATGGGTTGTCTTCCAGGCTTAGAAGTGGCAAATTACATGATTGGCAAGGCGGCAACTGTCAGTGTGATTGGTCAGAGTGCTGCCCCCTTATCTCATGTCTTTGGCCCACTTATTGGACAGTGGTTTCGCAAGGTGCTTTATGTCTTGGCTTGTGTTAGCTATATTCCACCCAGTCTTTTTGTTACTCTATTAGTATAAATTATATGCAATAATCTACGGGCAGAAGTATTTTCATAAACAAGCATGTTTTTATTTAATATATTTATAATTATTAACAGTCATTTATTTTTAATAAATGCTAATATTCATTATAGTTATAGCAAAATATTTAACATAAATAATTAACTTTTCAAACTTTGTTATAAACAGTAAATAACACTTATACTTATAAACATTACAGCGTACTAATGTTTAAACTAGAAAAAAACTGCCATCCAGAATATACTTTTTAGCTTATAGCTACTGCTACATTTTTTTATTACATTTTTAAAAAATAAGTTTTTATTTTAGCATCTTTTCACTTAAAATATTGTATCTACTTGGTACATTTCTTGTAGAAAATAATTCTCAAAGTTGCGTTTAATCAGTGTGGAAGAATTTACAAATATATTCAGAGTAATTAAGATTTTAGTGTCAGTTTAAAATAGTTTATATGTGAGGAAGAGAAAAGTATGAGTTGCTTAGATGACTTAAAGTTTAACTCTAAATCTGCTGGAAATAAAAATTTAACCTTTTTTTTTTTTTACTGAACAGATGCATGAGGGTAAGGGTGTCAAATTCTATTTTGATACCAGCGTGAAAGAGTTCAAAGGTGAAGATGGTAAACTGACCGAGGCTGTGCTGGCTAATGGGACAGTTCTACCAGCTGATGTCTGTGTCATGGGAGTGGGTAAGGTGTCACACCCTCTTACGGCAGTTCATAGGGCATTCACGTATACAACACGTACACTAGCAGTACAGAGCACATTCACATATATAACACGTACACTAGCAGTTCTACCAGCTGATGTCTGTGTCATGGGAGTGGGTAAGGTGTCACACCCTCTTATGGCAGTTCATAGGGTATTTACGTATATAACATGTACACTAGTAGTACATAGGGCATTCATGTATACAACATGTACACTAGCAGTACATAGGGCATTTACGTATACAACATGTACACTAGCAGTACATAGGGCATTTACGTATACAACACGTACAATAGCAGTACAGAGCTCATTCACATATATAACACGTACACTAGCAGTTCTACCAGCTGATGTCTGTGTCATGGGAGTGGGTAAGGTGTCCCCACACACTCTTATGGCAGTTCATAGGGCATTTACGTATATAACATGTACACTAGCAGTACAAAGCTCATTCACATATACAACACGTACACTAGCAGTTCATAGGGCATTCACATATACAACACGTACACTAGCAGTACATAGGGCATTCACGTATACAACATGTACACTAGCAGTACATAGGGCATTCACGTATACAACATGTACACTAGCAGTACATAGGGCATTCACGTATACATGTACACTAGCAGTACATAGGGCATTCACGTATATAACATGTACACTAGCAGTACATAGGGCATTCACGTATACAATATGTATACTAGCAGTACATAGGGCATTCACGTATACAACATGTACACTAGCAGTACATAGGGCATTCACGTATACAACACATACACTAGTAGTACATAGGACATCACATATACAACACGTACACTAGCAGTTCATAGGACATCACATATACAACACGTACACTAGCAGTTCATAGGACATCACATATACAACATGTACACTAGCAGTTCATAGGACATCACATATACAACACGTACACTAGCAGTTCATAGGACATCACATATACAACACGTACACTAGCAGTTCATTGGACATCACATATACAACAGCAGTTCATAGGACATCACATATACAACACGTACACTAGCAGTTCATAGGACATCACATATACAACACGTCTCTAGCAGGTTATAAAACATCTCTTGCTTACACATCCACATATATAATACAAACATGAGTTTTATACATATTTTAAGTAAAACTTACCTCATGTTTTACCAGTCTGATCACCAATACCTCATGTGTTACCAGTCTGTTCACCAGTACCTCATTAATTTACTATTTGTACAACTTGCAGGTGTTGTACCAGCCACAAACTTCTTGAAGGATTCAGGTTTGGAGCTAACACCTCGCGGCTTTGTCACAGTCAATAAGGTAAACCACCATTTGTTTCACCAATACTTCCAAACATTTGGATTCCGTAACCTTTATGTATGTGTGTGTGTATGTCTACAAATATTGTATGTTTACTTATTACGTGTGTATGTGTATTTTTTATTTTGGGATCCTTCAATTAAAAAGTGTCCTCCCTGACACCCCCTTCCCTCTAGAACTGCCACTGTTTAAAACATCTATCTCCACCAGAATATGCGCACCAACATCCCTGACATCTACGCTGCAGGCGACATTGTTGAGTTCCCACTCTTCATTGCCAACAACCAGCAGGCCAACGTCCAGCATTGGCAGATGGCTCATCAGCATGGTTAGTTTGGTTTTTTAACTTACTGTGTCTCACCAGCATGGTTAGTTTGGTTTTTTAACTTACTGTGTCTCACCAGCATGGTTAGTTTGGTTTTTTAACTTACTGTGGCTCACCAGCATGGTTAGTTTAGTTTTTTAACTTACTGTGGCTCACCACCATGGTTAGTTTGGTTTTTTAACTTACTGTGGCTCACCAGCATGGTTAGTTTGGTTTTTTAACTTTTACCTCATCGTTACTGTATTCCAACTTAAACTGTATAAACATAATTCAGTAATGCATTTGACGCCAATACTGTATTTTAACTAAAACTGTATAAAGATAATTCAGTAATACATTTAACATCAATACTAACATTTTGAAAGATAACCCAGTAATATATATTAAAAAAATAGTTACCCTTTCAAACCTGGCAGTCTGTGGGGTGGATGAAGTAGAGTTAACCTGTTTCTATGACCTTGGCATATGAAGGGATAGTGTAGTCAGCACTATGCCCAGCCCTAATATGAGTCAGGTACCCATCAGAGATTGATGGACTCAAAGATATCCTATAGACTTAAGCCCAGGATGCGAACTCAAGACTTCTGTGTTAGTAGTTGTGCTCTCCACCATCCCAAGCCATCCCATGAATACATAATGCAGTAATACACAGTGCACTTATTAATCTTTGAACTTTCTTCCTGTGTAGGAAAGATAGCTGGGCTCAGCATAGCAGGTAAAGCCCAAGACATTCACAGTGTTCCATACTTCTGGACAGTCCAGTATGGCAAGAGCATCAGATATGCTGGTAGGTTTAAAAGTAATTAAGATTAAGTTATCAATAGAAGAATTAGATGATTGACAATAAACCATAAGACAAGTACAGCCAAACAAAAACAGGTTTTGTTTACCACTTCTAGTATATTTTTATAATATTTGTTTTGTACAATTCTGATTTTGTTTTTGTCTTCGTTGATCTTGAAATCAAAATATCAGATATACCAATACTTGTCAGACAACTGTGGATAAATTGGCTGTTTTAAAATGATCCCAATTATTTGTTTAAATGTACTTTTCCTGTGAATGATTTCCCTTTGTCTTGCAGGTTATGGCCCTGGCTATGATGACATCATCTTACATGGTGATGTGGACGACAACAAATTTGTTGCCTTCTATACCAAGTCAGTTCAACTACTCAGGAATTGATTTTACAATTACTGATCTTATAACTCATTGGATATTTAATCAAGTTAATTATTAATCTAACAAGTAGTTAGAACTTGATTTTGTTAGCATTATAGTAATCAGGGTGAGTTGAGCTTAGTATAACTGGATTTTGATTCCTTTGACTGCAGGAATGAAACAGTGGTGGCTGTTGCTAGTCTGGGTTGGGACCCAATAGTTTCTCAAGCAGCAGAGCTCATGTCAAAGGGAGGGGTGATAAAAAAAGATGACATCAAGTAAGTAGACACATTTTATTTAATCTCTAGAATTGGAGTTAGATAACTCACTGCTGTTTACTGATAAAACTGTTCTGATATTTTTTAACACTGAGTAAAATAAGTAACAGCTGCCTGTCTTTAACTCAATTATTTATTTCGATTTTCTGAACTAGGATAAATCAAAATATTTGCTCTATTTTCTTTTTTACTACACTTTATGTTAGGTATTTAAATCTAAAATGTAAATTACAAAAAAATACACATCCTATCCATTTTAAATAATTACTAACTCAATATGTTAGGCAAATTAGATTTTTTAAAAATAAAATAAAATGGATGGTTGTTATATAATTAAATAATTTTAAAAAAATTAAAAATCCCAGTTTTTTATAGTCAATGAAATACATTTTTTTTCCAGGTCAGATCCAGACAACTGGGTCTCCAAGTTATGTACACTGTGATCATGTGACAACCCACTTAGACAAGCCACTTCTATAGGACCTTGTTTAGACAACCCACTTCTAATTTTATAGGACCTTGTTTAGACAACCCACTTCTATAGGACCTTGTTTGTTTAGACAACCCTCTTCTAATTTTATAGTGCCTTGTTTAGACAACCCTCTTCCAATTCTATAGGACCTTGTTTAGACAACCCTCTTCCAATTCTATAGGACCTTGTTTAGACAAGCCAATTCTATAGTGCCTTGTTTAGACAACCCACTTCTAATTTTATAGGACCTTGTTTAGACAACCCACTTCTATAGGACCTTGTTTGTTTAGACAACCCTCTTCTAATTTTATAGGACCTTGTTTAGACAACCCTCTTTTAATTCTATAGGACCTTGTTTAGACAACCCACTTCTATAGTGCCTTGTTTAGACAACCCACTTCTAATTTTATAGGACCTTGTTTAGACAACCCTCTTCTAATTCTATAGGACCTTGTTTAGACAACCATTTCCAATTCTATAGGACCTTGTTTAGACAACCCGCTCCTATAGGACCTTGTTTAGACAACCCTCTTCTAATTCTATAAGACCTTGTTTAGACAACCCTCTTCTAATTCTATAGAACCTTGTTTAGACAACCGACTCCTATAGTAATTTGTTTAGACTGTTTAAATGATGATACATAAAAATGACCAGTGATCAATTGTTTAATATTTTTTGTTGTTAATAGTGTTGAATTTTATTTAAAATTAATTTAAAATGTGTGTGCCTTTTGCTGGGAAAAATCTGCCCTAATTATTTTTTATACTTTTTTTGTAGAACAATCTTAAAAAAATAAGTTTTCTATTGTTGTTGACCTTATAATGGCTAAATATTTTTGCAATTAAAAAACAACCAGCCTCAGACCCTCTTTGGGCACTAAAGGGTTACACTATACAAGTCTGTCCTCATGGTTAAACCAAATCATAGAAAGTTTATAAAAACAAATTTTTAAAGCATTTCCCTATGTACGAAAAAACAACATTTAATCTATGCAATAATGTTGGAATTAAACAACTACAGTGCCACTTCAGTACATTCAGAATTGGAAACTTTTAAAATAAAAAATAAAGCTCCTATTTGTGGTTCTAAAATTCCTTACATGTATTCACTTTTTTTTTTAGCTCAGGCCTATTTCTAAATTTTAGGAAAATAATAATAATGATGCTTGCAAGCGTTAGGTCGTAAAAGCTAAATTATTTATTACTGAGTTGAAGATAAGAAAAATAATTTGATAACACACTTGATAACAAATTAGATAACACATTGTATGATGTTATTGTCACTGGTTTCCTTCAACAGACACTGTACAATAATCTGTCCATAAAAGAATAGCGTGTGAATCAAGTGTAGCCTAACTACCTAAACAAGCTGTTTGAGAAAGAGCATAATTAAAGCAGTATTACAAATACATATAACTAACTATATTATTAAACTGCTTGTAAACTTCACTAGATATAAACTGCCAAGCTTGCAAAAAAAATTTCTTCAATATACAACTATTGCCTAAATATTTATGTAATATTCAGCCTTTTATTTAAATTGCTTTATTTTATTTATAGATTGTTTAATCAATTATTTACAAGCATTTATTAATTCTGCCATTAAGTGATATTAGTGGCATAATTTTTTTTTTCGTGACGAAATTTCTCAAAAATTTCTGTTTGTTTCATTCTTTTCTTGTAACAACTCCATCTTCATGGTATTCAGGGTTGGAGATGCATTTTGTTATTCATGCCAGTATGTATTGCATAAATAAACATTTTGTACAAACTGGGTTTTTGTTATCATTTGGAGGAGAATGTGTAAATAGATAGTTTTTAGTATAAATTTTTTACATAAATTTTTTTATAAATTTTTTACAAACTGAGTGAAAAAATTGACATTTTACTTGGGCTTAATGAATTATTATTGAAACAGTTACTTTAATCTTTTAGTGATTTTAATTGCAAAAGCTGAATGGAATCAGAAGTGTACTAATTATAGGCTGTCCAAATTGTGCTTCTATACATTCAGCCCAAAAACATCTAATTTATAAGTACACCTACTAATCGTGGCAAGAATTTGTACTTTGCTTAGTGGTGACATTAACAATAGGTACATTGAAGCAGAGGCGTAGCTAAATATAGGAGGGGGTGGCGGCACAAAATTGATTGTTTGCCCTGGGCGCCGGAATTGGTTGCTACACCTCTGCATTGAAGGGGGAGGGAGGATATAAAACAAGCAACCAGTGCCCACTCATTTTGTTTTTGTAATGCATGATTATGTACTTTTGGATGCATATGGCAGGAAACAGATTAGTACCGGAAAATGCATATTCGATCTTCGCCGTTCATAAACTTTCTAACCAGACATCGTTCGGGGATTTTGTTTATACTAATAAATAGAGCTATGTTTTTACAAGCTTCGTTAGCAACATTTTTGTGGAATACGTTTTTTATGACATTTTGTGCCGCGGCGAAGGATGCGAAGTATGCAAATCTGGACGGAATGGATCTACTTGGAAAAGTACGTGTACTGCACTAATAAGGTAAGAAATACTATTTTGTAAAAATAACTATTATTTTTATGGATTTTTCATTAGAAATGATTGCTGTAAATTATGAAAGTAAAAAAAAGTATATTTGAATGTGTTTTTTACTTTAATTTGAACAAAGTGAATGGCCATAATTACGACACATCGGCGTCGTTGAAAGCGGGGATTTCAGTTAATTTTTTACGGATATAAAATTGTATTTTTCTCCTCCGAGGCATGTACTTAAATAACAGTTTAGTTAAATGTATTTAATTCTGTAAAATATAAGTATTATTTTGCCGTAGATACTTAAAAAAATTTTTTTTATGATTTTCTGTCGGGGAAAATCGATATTCGCACCATGCACGCACGCGTAGTAAAACTAGACTTATCTTTAAAACACGAGAATCTTGAGTACACTGCGAATAACAAAGTTTTTAAATTTTAGTTTACTTTTGACTTTAAGCCATTTGTTTTAAATCGAAATTAATTGATAATGTAATTATTTCAAAGTAAAAATTTTCCGTCTGATTGGGTTCTAATCTTCGCCCACTGAACCAGCTTACGCACGACATTCGCGCGAGTCTGTTTCTTCGCAATAGTCTGTATAGTGTCGAGGGCTAATTCTAAAAAGAATCGAGTCCTTACTAATCCAATGTTTATTAAAATTAGGTACAATTGTTGGAACGCATGAGTAATAACAAATTAATATTTCTTTAAATCTATAGCCAAAAGAAAGTAGAACTTTATAACTCTGTAAATTATGAATCGAGTGACGGCTGTCGTGAAAACGGGAGCCATTTTACTCTTTTTTTTTAGGGTGACCTACTTTTATTATATAAGTTTAAAATTCATCGATTTGATAAGCAGCTGAGTAGCTGACTACGCATGCGATATGGCTGGCACGTTTTGGGATAGGGATCGAGTACACCATAGAATTTTTTTTTTCTTAGAACTAAGCGTATTTTTTTTTAAATCAAAAGATACTTACGGTGCCCTGTCAAAACGGCCCGGGACAAATCGGCCCCGTCAAAACGGCCCCGTTAATACGACCCCGTCAAATCGACTCCCGACAAACCGACCCCGTCAAAATAACCCCGTCAAAAGGGCCCCGACTTATTGGCTCCCGTCAAATGGGCTCCCGTCATTTAGGCTACCGACAAATAGGCTCCCGTTATATAGGCTCCCGACAAAAGGGCTCCAGTCAATAAGGCTCCTGACAAATAGGCTCCCGTCATTTTGGCTCCCGACATATAGTCTCCCGTCATTTAGTTTTTTCCACAAAACGGCCCCCGTCATTACGACTCCCGACAAATAGGCTCCCGCCATTTAGTTTCTCCACAAAACGGCCCCCGTCATTACGACTCCCGACAAATAGGCTAGCGTCATGTTGGCTCCCGACAAAAAGGCTCCTGTCAATTTGGCTCCAGACAAAAGGACCACTGACACAGTGGCGTAGCTACCGTAAAGCTAGCGTAAGCAAGGCATGGGGGCCCAAGGCACATAGGGGCCCTTTTCCCTCATAACAAATTAAAACTTTTACAATGAAATTTTAATATTTGTTACATATAAATAATTTTAAAAAAGAAAAAGGTTAAAAGTTCCAAAAAGCCCCCCCCCCCCCCCCCACCGTTTCGGCAGTGGGATTCAGTGTTTGTGGGTCAAACAGAGCCCAACCGTTATAATAACACTACAGGCTATATCACTTTGTCGTGCAAGACATTGAGAGAATCAGCCTATAAATAAACTTTTTAGCAGTAGTTGGCAAGCATAATAAAATAGTATAAATACAAAATCAGGATATATAAAATACAAAATGTTGCCTTCAGAATATTTATATATTAAAAAATATCCATCGTAAGTAGAAGTTGATCTCTTCGTTTAACTCCTCTGTAGCCTAACGCAGAGGCGTAGCTAAGGCAAGGCGGGGGGTGCGGACCGCAACGGGTGACACCATTTAGGGGGGGTGACACCAAAGGCAAAAAATTGTAAAATTTATAGAATGAAATGCCATTTTCCAGATCCATTAGTTAAAGTTAAATAGTCTTCTAAGTATAAATCGAAAATTATATCAAGAGGGGGGGGGGGGGGCTGTGACACCACGACGTAAACGTAAACTATAAAGAAAACAATGCTACATCCAACTGTATTATAAACAGACTGTAGATAAACATCGTGACTATTAATTCAGCAGTGATTAAAGCTTAAACACGTACGTGTACCAGTATGTGGCATATATATAAATTTTAGGCCTATGTAGGCCGACACACACACACACACACACACACATATATATATATATATATATATATATATATATATATATATATATATATATATATATATATATATATATATATATATATATATATATATATATATATATATATATATATATATATATATATATATATATATATATATATATATATATATATATATATATATATATATATATATATATATATATATATATGCTTTGTTTCCTGGGAGGGGGTGACAATACGAAGTGCCGCACCGGGTGAGACCCGACCTAGCGACGCCACTGGCCTAACGGCTGACGAAGGGGCCCACTGATAATTTTTGCATAGGGGCCCAAAAATCCTAGCTACGCCACTGCACTGACAATACCGTTTCTGTAGAGACTAAGTCTCCCGGCAAAGCGGTCTCATTGAATATGACATCTGCCAGTGGGACCCCTTCATCAATATTCTTTAGAGTTAGCTTATCCAACACTCTTATGTAATACAACGTATGCATCTCTTGTTCGGCAGGTCTTATTTTTATATTAGTTTATCTATTATAAAATATAGTATGTTTTAATTTAAGGGTCATCTATCTATGACATCCATAATTGAGTCGGTTATAGTCTGTTCCAACTCATTGTGTGGGGAGAAGGGTCCACGCTGTACCTTCCTAACTGCAATATGCTTGTACAGGGGCGTAGCGAGGGGGGGGGGGGGGTGCGGACCGCACCGGGTGACACCATTTAGGGGGGTGACACAAAGGCAAAAAATAGCAAAATATATAGAGAAAAAGTTGAGGGGGTGGGGGTGCAAATCGAAAGTTTGGGGGGGGGGGGGGGGGGTGCAAATCGAAAACTTGAAAGTTTGTCCCCGGGAAGGGTCGCAACGCCTCTCGGGGGGGGGGGGGGGGTGACACCATTAAGTGCCGCACCGGGTGACACCTGACCTCGCTACGCCACTGTGCTTGTAGGTTATCAAAACAAAATGCTTTTATCATGTTAACATCATGTATATCATACATTTACACTTCTGTGCTCGCTTTTAAGCAACAGATCTTTTCTGTTGTAAATTAAACATTATCAAAACTTTAGAATTGGTGGAATTTAGCTGATAAGGGCTCGATTTGTTTGTGAATTAATGTTGGTTCATGAAAAAATAATTTCATTCGGGCATTAAAAAGAGGTTATGGTGGTATTGGAGGTAGGACACAATGGTTACTTTTATGCCAATAGTGGTCATATCATTCATTTTTCTGGAGCCAATATGTCGGGAGTCATTTTGTCAAAAACCAATATGGCGGGAGCCCAATTGCCGGGAGCCAATATGTCGGGAGCCCATTTGTCGGTAGCCAAAATGTCGTGAGCCCATTTGCCGGGAGCCCATTTGTCTTGAGCCCTTATGTCGAGAGCCAATATGTCGGGAGCCGCTTTGTCGGGAGCCAATATGTCCTGAGCCTATTTGTCAGGGGTTAATATGTCGGGAGTCCATTTGTCGGGAGCCTAAATATCGGGAGCCCATTTGTCGGGAGCCTATATGTCGCAAGTCAATATGACGGGAGCCCATTTGACGGGAGCCAATAAGTCGGGGCCCTTTTGACGGGGTTATTTTGACGGGGTCGGTTTGTCGGGAGTCGATTTGACGGGGTCGTATTAACGGGGCCGTTTTGACGGGGCCGATTTGTCCCGGGCCGTTTTGACAGGGCACCATTTTTTAGATCTAGATCTACTTACTATTTGACAACCGTGTCAGTAAAATGAGGTCAGCGCTTCCAGATTCTTGGGTTTTAATTATGTTTGTCATTTTGATCTATTATAAGTAGCATTAAAACAACTGCATCTATTATCAACATTGTTTTTATATGCCAGTTCTAATTATACATTCTGTTCATTACCAATTCTAATGAAATCGTATCAGGCCCTAACACCCTGTTCACCTACACTCCTACACTGACACTACACTTGAAAGACGCCACAGAGAGTCGTAACTTTAAATTAATGTTTAAAGTACTAAACAATTATAATTAGCCATGTAAATGCTGCAACTATATTAAAAATTGGCATATAGACATATTTTATTAATTATGTTTTTTATATAGACCTTCTATATTTAACTCTGTTATTTTTTTCTTCCCCAGAGTGTTTCTAAAAGCCAGAATTTTAAAGGGGAGGGCGGTCGTTTTTTTTCTCAAGAATAATTATAGAAATAAGCTATAAACTGGTATATTTTGTAAAGTTTGACACATTTACAAATAAATGTATGCCTAAGTGACATTTCTGTGTAATTATATTGTTAATTTTGTGAATTTCGTGGATTTTTAGACCTCACTACATTTAGATGTAAAAAAAAATCTCAGTTGAGTGAGTGTGGTTAATCTACATTTTGAACGTGATGTAAATGTCTAGTGCTATTAATTTTTATATTTTTGAATTCCTCGATTGTTAAGCAACAAAATTGATATATAATATGTCAATAATTGTTACTTTGAAAATTGGCGAAAATCGACCCTAAAAGTAGATGCTTGAGGGTTGAATCTGTTTCCTGCCATATGGGGGGGGGGGGGGGGGGCACTTTTGTTTTAAAGTTTAAACTTTCTGGAGAGTGGGAGGAGGGCAGATGATGGTTAAAGTGGGCCCTGGCCTTTAGGCTATAATTATAATATATATTTTCTCTATTTCGTCAGGAGGTTGGGGGGGGGGAGATGCCTGAAAAAACTGACAGAAGATTAATTGTAGCGACAAAAGCTATTGTAAAATGGAGTGTCTCGAGTACAGAGAAACTAACATACTACCGTTCTTTTCTGGCACCTCATAGATAATATATAATAATTGATCGAAATTAAACTAATATTACTAGACTAATAAACTTGGATTTGCTTAGGAATCGTGCAGTAGCGTAGCGAGGGGGGGGGGGGGCGGGGGACATATGTCCCCGGGCGCCAACCTTAGGGGGCGCCAAAATGGGTTGGAAAAATAAATTGAAAGGTTGAGGGTGGTGCAAATCGAAAGTTTGAGGGGGGGGGGGAGGATGCAAATCGAAATCTTGAGGGGGGGGGGATGCAAATCGAAAAGTTTGTCCCCGGGCGCCGGGTAGGGTCGCTACGCCTCTGGTGATGACAGGAGCCCTATTGTCTGGAGCCTATATGACAGGGTCCGTTTGTTTGAGGCAATTTTTACAGGGCTGACTGTTTCATCACTGGCATTTTTTTGTCACGAGTTGTGTCTTCTATCTACATCTGCAAAAAAAAAAAAAAAAAAAAAAAATACACGGGAAAGTTGCTGCATTGTTGATTAAATTTTCCAGGAAATCCGAACTCTTTTACAAAAATGATCATTAAAGTGTAAAATTCTACATCCGCTAAACATTTGCAAATGAATGCATAGTAGATCTATGAAACATTGATCTGAAGGATAGACTACCCAACCTCTTTTAAATGAACATTTTCGAGTTATACTAGATCTAGATACAGATCTAGATCTACTAGTAACATTTATATTTATTGTTCAAAATCTTAGTTCATCGTTGTTTGCTTAAAAGATAATTTTAATAATGGGAGAGTTTCAGAGCATTCGACCATTCAAGGTAAAACAAGCGTTCAAGTTCAAGGCTTGAGTTGAACTTCAAAATAGGCCTACAATGTTTAATTTTAATGTTTGTTTATGCTTCTGTTGTTTGTTACTTTGTCAGCCAACTGTTATGTTGGTCTAACATCTTTAGATTTAACCATATCCTGTTCCTATTCCTAACCCGAGCTCTCATGGTCATGCCTACCATAAACTGCATAAAGTACTCAACTTATGTCTTAAGAAGTCTTAAAGTTGCCATAAAACATTGGATTGGCTATTGCCTAATCTGTAGCTGTAATCATATCCCTTAAAAAGTTAAAAGCTCAACAGTCTTTATTTACTAAGTAAACATGAGGGGGGAGGGACAAAATACATATCTTTTGTAACACATCTCAAAACACTTGCTGCCTGGAAGCATAACCACTTCGACCAGCCGTACAGTAAAAAACATCACAATATAAAAAAGTTGAATGTCCTACAGAAGATAATAAAAAAATATGTAGGCTTAAGCATACGCTGGACAATACATTTTATTTTAAACAATAAATAATGGGCCCATGATTTGTTTGTTAAAAATAGCTAATTACGTAGCTAGGCCAATGCAAAAATTTAATTTCAGTAAAACAATATATAATTACGAGTAGACACTCCCTTTAACCCATGCATTTTTCATTAATTTAAACTTGAAGTTAAAGATATTTGCCTTCCCATAAAATAACTTATAAGGATATTATTGAATATATTAGTCACACATCACTTTTCATAAACAAGTAGGCTGTAGGCTAATAAATTTACAGTAATCCCCTGTCTAAGAGACTAAGAACTACTAATTTTATTTTCCTTGTTAAAAAATAATTAGAATCTAGGCATAGTATTGCTACTTAAATTTGAATAAGCAGTAATTTTTATTTTTACAGATCATGTCAGTGGTGATGGTGAGCATTGCAATAGTTCTAACCATTGTGTCACTGGCAGGTCCTGATTGGGTCAGTGCGTCTTTTTATGAGGGCGATGTTAAGTCATGGGGGCTTTGGTGGGATTGCTTGAAGGTTCATGCTTCATTTGAGATGTGCCTCAGTGCAGGTAACTTCATTCATCAAATCATAATTTTTTTTTTTTTATTTGTTGCCTGATTGTCTAGTGGTCATATTTAATTTTCTTCTTTCTTGTATTGATTTTCTATTTAATGAGAATGTTGGTTTTTTTGTAGACTGGCTTGCAGGCTGTGCTGCTATGGTGTTCTTGTCCCTCATAGCTGATGTGCTGGGTGCAGCACTTGGAATATGGGGTCTTTGTGCTAAGCGACGTATGCCATATGTCTTAGCTGGTGGAGTCTGCATTCTTTCCTGTAAGAGCTTCATTTTTTCTTCTGTTGATCTTTATTTTAATGCATCATTGGAAATATTGAAGTATTCCAACATTTGTAACAGATCTTTAGAATATAACATAAACATTTTTATCAGAACGTTGTATGGTTTTAAAAAAATCTAAGTAACTATAATACTACAAGACCATAATAATATGATCCAGTAAATTGAGGTTATTTCCCTTCTTAATGGCCTATGTTTTGTTTTAGGTATCTGTATGGTGATTAGTCTCATCATTTACCCTGTTATGTTTACACAGGAGGTAAGTGTCATAGAGAAACTAAAGTCTACCTCTTTGTTTAACCTGTTTCTGTTTGAATGTGAGGATTAGTTTGATTTTGTTAGAGCTTAAACATGTAGTGGGGGTCATGTTGTAAAAATGTAAACCTCCTTTTAGAACCTAATGCTATATGGACCAAGTGAAGTATGAAGTAAAGTTCACTTGTTATTTCTGTGATCTCGGTATATGAAAGATGGTGTAGTCAGGACTATGCCAGACCACCCTTGTTTTCCCTAATGTGAGTTGGATGTACTTGAATCTGTATTCAAATTCCAGACTTTCTAATGTCGTAGGTCATTCTGATATTAAACTAGCTTTTAAGGTTCTGTTATGAGTCTAGTTTGAAATTATACCGTGGTTATTTTGTTTTCCCTAGGTAAGAACAAACCCTGACTACAATGCGGAAACCTCTGACTTTGAGTTCTCTTGGACATTTGGCATAGCTTGTGGCACTGTTTTCTTTCTGATGGGGGGAGCCATTTTCTTTTTCATTCGGCTGAGGGAAGAAGAGGATGCCCAGCCCATGAAATCTGTGGACGACAAATCTTACTTCAGCGTCAACTGATCAGCTGAAATCTTGATTCAGGTACACATCAGATGAGTAGACTGTGTAGGCCATTATTGTAAGCATTGTCTAAGCCATATTCCGTCATGGTTGACAAGTATTGTGTAAGCCAGATTTCATTATAGGTGGCAAATATTGTGCAAGCCGTGTTCCATCATTTATAGTAGACAGCTATTGTATAAACCTTGTTCCAAACTTAACGCAGTGGTTTAAGTTGAAAAAATTAGAACAAGTATCAAAAAACATTTTCATAACAAACTTAAAGGGCTAAAAGCATGGACATAAATCTAGATCTTAATTATTTATTTTAGTAAAAATAAGATTTTGACTCTAGAAATCTTCTCAAAATATTTTGTGACTAACATTTTAATTTTTACAAATATGGTATTTAGAGCTGAGCTTGCTTTCCTATTTTTAGTATGCTTTAAAGCTTGTTATGATAATGATTTTAATACTTGTTTTGTTTTATATCTTCCCCATTATTGTGAAGAAAGTATTCTCTTTTAAAACAACCCTTCACACTACAACAGTCATCTCCCCTTTTGTTAACGAACAGTAATTGTGAACAAAGTAAAAGTTTGTAAAAAGTGTTCATTGACCAACCTATTTAAGTGGGACATTTGAGATTAATTTAAGTGATGAAATATAGAACGGTGCATAATAATAAAATGTATTGATATTACAAATTTTATAGTCTGTTGGTTGAGGCACAATCTCATTTTTACAAGATTGTTTTAATTTTTATAATCAAATGTGACAAATATTTTTTTAAAGCTGGTTTATTCTCCAGTCATAATACAAAACACAACTCATTACCATTTTTACATAATAACTTATATAAGACTAGTCAGCACTTTGTTAACACGTGCTTATTTTGTTGGTTTTTTTTAAAAATCCTACTTAAAAATTTGCTTAATTAAGTAATTAAAGAACAATGTAATTATCAATCACTACCAGACTACTTTTTATCACTCTGGTATATTTATTAACACTTCAGGTATGTTCTGTGTATGCAGCCACCTTAGGTTACAACAATGTGATTTATTGCTCTTGGTGTATTTCACTTACATCAATGTACATTCCTTAACTTATTAGTCTGTACATTTATTGCTGTTTATTTTTACACTGTCATTGATATTCCAACATTGGTTGCTGCTAAATGCTAGTTGTGATATGCTGGGGTGTCACATTCCTTGTTTATTTCAATGTCAAAATACTGTAAATATCTTAAAATTTATGTTGTAAGCTATTTGATGTTGTTATACTAGTCGCTATTTTTATTGCTAGTTTTTTTCCCACTAATAATTTTTTAAAGTAAATCCAGAGGGCTTGTCATTTTAAACAGGCTTTACAGTTAAGGTAAAAATTAAATTGAATTATAATCAATTTATTTTATTTTTATTGAAAAAAACCACATGAATTATTTTGTGTATTTAGAGATTTTATACATTTCTGTAATGTTAGTGAATAACATTCCTTTTTTTTAAAAAAAATACCTTTCTGTTTTTAATGTTCTAATGATTGTTATTTATTTTAAAATGTATAAGTTTTTTGGCCAGTATTAAAGGATACATAATCAAACAGACACCAGATGGTTTGAAACCACTGGTTTGTTGTATTTATTATTGTTGTTTAATAATGTGAATAACATGTTCTATTGTAATTCATGAAACTCATTCCTGTCTCAAAGAAATATCAAATTGCTAATTAACGAGAAATGGTTCTTTTTTTATTATAACATTCCATGTTCGTATCTGAAGTGGGAAGGGATACATTTACTTGTGTTTTAATTCATAGTTTTATTTAAAATTTCTACTACTCTCAACATTTTTTGTGTTAACTCAACATAAATATAATCTTCATTAAATCTGAGATTCATATTATCTTTGATCCTATCCTTGGCATTAATCTTTAGTCATTCTATATTTATATTTTTTACACATTTTACTCAGCTGTCACTTTTTTCAGCAGTTTGAACACATAGAATATTTTGCTTAATAGTATACATTTTTGTCTAGTTATACAAATTTCAACCTATCTAAATAGTCATTACAGATCTAAACTTTTGTCTGCATAGTTATAACAGCTTTTTTGGTCAATTTCTAGTCTTTTTCTTCACATATGCCTACTTATTACCATGGTTATGTTTGTTAACACTTTTACATTTTTTTAAACCTGTAATTTTAAAAAAAAACCCTGTGAGGATCAATTGGTGCTATGTGCAGTCATAACTGTCTCAGCTTTAGGGGTTGTCTTCTAAAAATTGTTGAACACCTTGACATATTCTTTTTAAGAAAACACATTTGTCAGAAGATGCTTGTTAGCTAGTAGTGTGTGTATATATTTTTAATTATTGTAAGACATGACAATTTTTTTGTTTGTTAAATAGTCTTATTTTAGAAAAACAACAAACAATTGGCTATCAATTGGTGTAATATTTGATCAGACAAGTATATAAATTGGCATGGGTAAGGATGGTGGTCAGTGGAGGACTCAATTGGTGGTCATCCTTAAAACCTGAGGTCTGAAGTTTAAATCCTGGTGATAACCTGGTCTGTGGCTTAAGCATAATCAAAAGATATCATTGAGCCCATTCAGCCCTTTTTAGTACCTGAAGCCAACTGAGATAGGAGCCATGACACTGTCTCAACCACCAAATACATGAAGTTGGATACCATCTTATCCACCAATCAAATACTTCTGCCATTTCTAGCAGTAGAATTTGTTCACCCCTATTGACTGTATTTTCCTAAGATTTTTAGTTATTGCTGTGGCATTATATAATTTTCTGACAGGTAATGACAACTTTTTTTAACAAGGCTAAACACTTTGTACTTTGTTTCATCTTAAAAATACAAGATAAATCTCCGTGTAGACTGTTCAGATAAAACATTTTAAAGTTGAAAAACATGTAAATTAACAAGTGTGAAACCTTTGAGCAGTAAGCTAACATAATTTTAAAAAATGGACATATCTATATGACTTAATATACAATTTTTTACACTGAACTTGTTTGGTAAACTTGATATACATTTTGTTGTACATGTTTAGTTAAAATAGTTAGTCAACAAATTCTGATCATCCAATAAAGTTTTGTTGTCAGCCTGAACTGTTTTATTTCATTTCACTCTTGTACTTGTCCGGGTGTAATGGCCTCGCTTGACCAGAGTTTTTGAACAACATAAAACTCATGATTTCTGCTTTCTCATACTCATCCGGTCAGTTCATTTATGCTTAATTTAAATAATAATAAAAAAGATTTTAAAAATCCTTATAATGATCTTTTAAATGCACTGAAAATAAAAAATAATTTGCTTTCATTAAGAAAGGCGTTGGTTGCCAAATTTTGTAGATTTTATGCACGACCAAAGATTTCATTTTTAAAAAAGCGTGTTAGTTTCATGTTTTCAGCGCATTTAAAGCTTAGTTTTATAAGCATTTTTAATATTTTTTCCCACGTTTTTGTAATTCGTTCTAAATGTAGCTGACACCACATCACTATAAACTAATCAATAAACATACTTTTTCAAAGTATGACACAGAATGACACTGATGATTCTTATTGCTAAGTACTTAATTTCCCCTTTATAGATGTACAATCATCAATTATATAGTTTGTTATAATCAAAACCAATAAAACTGGCAAGAAAAAGTTTATTTAGTTAAACCTTTATGCTAACAAAATTCTGGAGAGTATTATAAAAGTGAGTATTCATTCATGGTGCACATGTTTTGTAAATAAATAACAACATAGTTATACAACTGTTTATACATACATAGTAATGTAAGAATTAAACAACATGAAAACACTAAAATGGCAAGGCCTAATAAATTATAATAAGGCATTAGATTTGTGTACATTTATAACTAGACACAAAAGCTAACATAAATAGTGAAAGAAACATAAGCATACTGAAAGACAGGGTTTAAAATAGTATGGTTGACAAAAGTTTTAACCCCTTTACCGTGTGTCTCGAGTTAACTCGTCATTAAAATCTTGGGCTTAACCGTACATCACGAGTTAACTCGTCTTCAGATAAAAAAGTCGTCTGTGTGCCGTGCGTCCCGAGTTAACTCGTCTTGATACGAAAATAGCATTGGAAATCAATAACAATGTAGAGGGAGGCTAATCTAACAGCCAATTCAACAGCGGATGATAAAAATAGGTCAAAATGATGTTTTATTTTGTCAGGACAACATAACAAATCAAATAATGAAAAAAAACAATTACACGGTTTCCAAAAAAAAAATATTTTTTTTTCCCCGGTAAAGGGGTTAATATATATAAATAATAAACTATCATTCTTATTAACAATAAATAGTCAGATAATAGGAATCATGTATATAATTAGAATGTACATTGTAAAAATCTAATGCAAAATACTTTAAAAAACTACTTGGTCACATGTGTATCTAGGTATGTTTGTTGATTATCATAACTGTAGCGGCTGCATTGGAGTTTTCCCCAGGATCATGTCCGCAGACTTTTCTGCAATCATGACCACAGCAGCCTGAGGGTTGGCTGACACAATCCAGGGCATGATGGAGGCATCCACCACACGCAGGCCGCCAATGCCCTGTACCCTGAGGTGGGAACAGACAATTCAAACGATAAAATTAGTTTTAGCTTTCATTACTTGTATCAACCTATAACACATAACGTTGTTACGATACAACTTTAAACACTTGCTGTAACATTTTTATTACAATACAACCAGTAACACATACTGAATCCTTTTTGTTACAATATAGCCTTTAACATACTGTAATATTTTTGTTACAATAGTTTTATGAGAATTTGCTATTACACTAAATATTATTGTAGATTAAAAATTAAATTAATGGAAATATAACTTTACTTTTATTGAATACAAAAAGGTACACATTTTGAGAGAAATTATAAAACAGTTTTTGTTTCATTAATTTTATGGTCAAAGTTCCATATTTTAGGCATTAATTAAATAGAAAAATGTCAGGTATCTTGTTAAAAGCTTACTACTGACATTAATTAAACAGAAAAGGGGACACCAGTCTTGTTGAAAGCTTACCTCAGTCATTAAGTGAATAGAAAAAGTGGAAGTAACTCTGCCAAAAGCTTACCTTAACTGAGGGTCAACCACAGCAGTGGCATCCCCTGGTGGTCCCATCTTACAGGTACCAACAGGGTGGTACATGGTGAGTGGTCTGCGCTTGACCAGACACTGCCAGTACTCATGTGAGTCATACTTGTAACTGGCACAGACTGCGGGTATGGTTCTCTCTGTTAACTCTGCCCCTAATTTCATCATCGTCTTAGTCTGAAGCATTTTTTTACATTCGTTTATTCCTGGAGAAATTTGGTTTATTAAAATCTCACAAACATTATGAATGATACAAACTTTGTATGAAATATAAGTGTAAATAGAAATTTTATGAATGGTGGATTAATTATAACACCAGTGGGAGTAGAAAAAAGAAACATTGTTTATTTTATGCTTAAAACTTTAGTTAAAAAAGAGAGACGAAGGGAGATAGCCCCTATGTTCCCTTTCTCCCTCTGGATGAAGGGTACTTTAGATACAAAAATAAGAATAAACATTAATCAGAAGAAAAAAAGTTAATTACACCCATAGCTAAGATTGACCTCAAATCAAAGTCTAGGACTGTTATCTTAATTAAACCTCCACAACTATTAATCTAACAGCAAATTAGTTTTTTTAGAAGGGTCGCTAGAAAAAAGGCCAAAGGTTAAAAGGGTGTTCTAAGTTTCATTAAAATTTTAATCTATGTACCTATGGAATGTTTATTCACATTCTTCTGATAATGAAGATTGTTTATTCAAATTCTTCTGATACTGTAGATTAATGTAGATTGTGTAGGCCTATTCACTTTCTTCTGATAATGAAGATTGTTTATTCACATTCTTCTGATAATGAAGATTGTGTATTCACATTCTTCTGATAATGAAGATTGTTTAATCACATTCTTCTGATAATGAAGATTGTTTATTCACATTATTCTGATAATGAAGATTGTGTATTCACATTCTTCTGATAATGTAGATTGTATATTCACATTCTTCTGATAATGTAGATTGTGTATTCACATTCTTCTGATAATGTAGATTGTGTATTCACATTCTTCTGATAATGTAGATTGTGTATTCACATTCTTCTGATAATGAAGATTGTGGGTATTTAATACTACCCTAACTGTAACAGTTTCTAAAAAAATAATAGAATATTTAAATGCAGGTCACCTCTAATCAGGAGTTCTATGTCCTCCTGGCGCTTCAGGTAATTAGCTTGAATGACAGGATAATCAAACGGATCATTAGATCTCAGACTAATGAGCCCCCTGCTTTCTGGGCGTGTAAGACAAGGGAGGCAAGCAAAGCCATAATCAGCTACATCCCTCCCAGCCATTTCAGCTTTGACCTGCATGAGGTGCAATAAAAATAAATCTTAAAATCTTCATATATAATAAGTCCTTAAATGATTATTTAAACAAATAATCTAACAGATACAATAAAGTTAATTAATGCTCAACTATTACAATTTAATTTAACCTAAGAGTTTAAACATTGTGTGTTAAACTAGAACAACATACCTCTTCATTATAACCAAACTTATCCAGTAACACACCACTTGGCAATGCACTAGTAAACCCCAACTGTAAATCTGGCCAATCCATTTCCCTAGTTTCCTTTGTTGTGCTTTTAAAAGCTAAGCTCTCTAGTAAAAATGGAGAGCTCATAGGCCCTATGGAGCATGACATACAAACACGACATATATTATAGATAAAAAAAACATAATTAATATCAAGTTGTATTATTAACATTAAAAAACCCATTGGAATAGGCCTACAAGTGATATGTAAAAGTATCATGTTGCTGATTCTAACACCCAGGGTTTAGTTAGACAAAATTTACCTGTGCCAAAGAGCTTGTACATTAGATGTGACCAGAGAGAACTGAAACTATTTCTTGTGGCAGACAAAGGCTCTTTGATCTGCACACCAACATCAAAAAACAGGTGATCTTGTAGGTTCTCTCCCACAGGTAGGTTAGCAACAACAGAAATCTAAATCAGTGTAGCAACAAATCTCAATCAGTGTAGCAACAAATCTAAATCAGTATAGCAACAAATCTAAATCAGTGTAGCAACAAATCTATCTAAATCACTCTATCAACAAATCTAAATCAGTATTGCAACAAATATAAATCAGTGTAGCAACAAATCTAAATCACTGTAGCAACAAATCTAAATCAGTATAGCAATAAATCTAAATCACTGTAGCAACAAATCAAATCAGTATAGCAACAAATCTAAATCAGTATAGCAACAAATCTAAATCAGAATAGCAACAGATCTAAATCAGTACAGCAACAATTCTAAATCAGTATAGCAACAAATCTAAATCAGTATAACAACAAATCTAAATCAGTGTAGCAACAAATCTAAATCAGTATAACAACAAATCTAAATCAGTGTAGCAACAAATCTAAATCAGTATAACAACAAATCTAAATCAGTGTAGCAACATATCTAAATCAGTGTTGCAAAAAATATAAATCAGTATAGCAAAAAATCAATGTAGTAACAAATCTAATTCAGTATAAAAGATCACAGAAAAATCTACTTAAACAAAGAAGTAGAGAAATATAAATTTTATTTGAAGCTTTTGTAATATTAAATCTTATATATTAAAAAAGTAATCCAATTAGATTGTATTTTGATTCCAAAAATGACTAATTTAACTAAAATTGTAATACTTTAATTATAGTTTATGACTAATTAATTACTAAATATCTTGTAAAAAGTTAATAACCCATTGTGATGATGCAAGGTTACGTCAAGGGCAGGTCAAGCAGATAGAGGTTAGCAGAACCAGACTATAGCGAGTTGGTCAGAGAGACCAATGAAAGTACAGGAGCTGACCGGTCACATGGGACGGTCAGCTGATCACTGAAGCGTGGGTCCGTAGTTGGATCAGCGGTAGAGAAGGTGTTAGGTATCGGTTAGAGGTGGTCAAGATATGTAGAGCTGGGGAGACAGAGGATAATTAGCTAGCAAAGAGAACAGTCAGTTAGGTAGAGAAATGTAGCATTAGGTAGAGACGGTCAGACATATGTAGAGCTAGATACAGTTAGATAGTAGTGGTAGTAGTACAGTGTAGATTAGTAGATAGGAAGTTGATTCTGTATAAGTTTTAATAAAGAACTTTATATTTTGACTTGAACTGTGAGTTGGATCTTTTCATCATCTTCACCACCCCCACTCTCACATTTGGTGATGTTAGTGTTTTCCCTACCCTCACAATGGGCGGAAGATCCTATCTTTTCATCTCCCCTCACACCCATATAAATTTATACTCCAGCATTGGTATTGATAAAAATGTGTCTTACCTTGTGAGATTCAAGATGCTGTTGGGGTCCAACACCTGACAGCATGAGGATGTGGGCGGAGCCTACAGTACCAGCTGACAGTATCACCTCCTTCCTGGCTTGTATCATGTACTTCCTCCCATTTCTTATGACCTCAACTCCTTTACACTCTTTGTTTTTTATTACTACCTGGACATTAAAGTTTTAAACAGAGGATTGAATTACCTTAGACAGAGACTGAGAACAGAAAACTTTGGTTTAAAAAGATGATGAAACAAACCTTAGTGACAAAAAATTATATCAATACAACTCCTTCACACTCTTTATTTTTTATTGCTATCTAGACATTATAAACAAGTTTTAAACAGAACATTAAATTACATTAGATGAGAGACATATCTCAGACAGGAAAATAATGTTTAAAATAATGAAACAAACCTTAGTGACATGAGAGTGGATAGCAACATGGAGGTTTGACCTGTCCAGCACTGGATGGAGATAAGCTTTTGCTGTGCTCCATCTTTCACCACTGTTGGAGTTTACTTGTGCATTGAATACACCTTGGATGAGACATTTTATAAACTATTAATTTTAAATAATTGGCTCAATAGTAACTGGCACAGATCAACCAAAAACATAATTTTAAATCACCATGAGCAATAAGAATGATATATCAACAGATGTTTTACTAATATGAACATCATCCACGTGTATGATATTAAATAGGCTTCATAAAAATCCAACCTAATAACTTAACCACACAAAAACAGGCTTGAATTTATTTGGTTTTGCAACATAAAAAAATGTAACTGTAAAATTGTATGTGTTATAGAATCTAACAATTATGAAACCTTAGTTTTCTAAACTGATTTTTGGGAAAAGCTAAAACTGGTCATGAGAGCTTAAGTAAGGAACCAAAAATTCTGTCTAACACATAATGTCATAACTTACCCTCCATAGATCTTACATTATAATCGTGATATGACTTCATAACTTACCTTCCATAGATCTTCCATTATAATCCTGATTATCAGGGTACCCCACAGCTTTAGCTGCCTCAACTAACTTCTCCACTATAGGATGTGGTTCTATGTGATTGACTGTTATTGGTCCATCATGCCCTCGATAATCTGCAGTGATTAAATTTATCTATATATATTTAATAATTATTTCACATAAAAAAAAATGAAAACAATAATTGAAATATGATTAAACATTTTTTAAACTTACTAGAATTACTGTATTATTAAGCAATTTTAGTTTTGTAAACTGCTGATTAGATAGATTATTATCTGTTAGATTTGGTAGCCTCAATGACAAAAAAAGTAGAGAATATTTCTTTAAGCTCCAAAAAAGTATGATTCATGTACTAATTAGTGCTTGATAAGCTCTTTTCAGTGTTAAATTATTCATCATTTAAAGCTGGAGCTCTGGACTATTGCAGATGATCTATACAACAACCATATAAGGTATGTTAAATTGCATACGCTTTTATTTTATTGATTAATTTTGGCATTTTTATATTAGTGATGTAGTATGTAAATCAAAGATACACCAGAGAACTATTTATATCAGTCATGTGATCTAGTTTGTTAAAGTAGTGCCACCTGTTGTTCTCTTATGGTCTGTATGAGTTTAAATGATGTCATCTGTATGAGCAGAGTTTAAATGATGTCATGTCATCTGTATGAGCAGAGTTTAAATGATGTCATGTCATCTGTATGAGCAGAGTTTAAATGATGTCATGTCATCTGTATGAGCAGAGTTTAAATGCTGTCATCTGTATGAGCAGAGTTTAAATGATGTCATGTCATCTGTATGAGCAGAGTTTAAATGATGTCATGTCACCTGTATGAGCAGAGTTTAAATGATGTCATGTCACCTGTATGAGCAGAGTTTAAATGATGTCATGTCATCTGTATGAGCAGAGTTTAAATGATGTCATCTGTATGAGCAGAGTTTAAATGATGTCATGTCATCTGTATGAGCAGAGTTTAAATGATGTCATGTCACCTGTATGAGCAGAGTTTAAATGATGTCATGTCACCTGTATGAGCAGAGTTTAAATGATGTCATGTCATCTGTATGAGCAGAGTTTAAATGATGTCATCTGTATGAGCAGAGTTTAAATGATGTCATGTCATCTGTATGAGCAGAGTTTAATTGATGTCATGTCACCTGTATGAGCAGAGTTTAAATGATGTCATGTCATCTGTATGAGCAGAGTTTAAATGATGTCATGTCACCTGTATGAGCAGAGTTTAAATGATGTCATGTCATCTGTATGAGCAGAGTTTAAATGATGTCATGTCACCTGTATGAGCAGAGTTTAAATGATGTCATGTCACCTGTATGAGCAGAGTTTAAATGATGTCATGTCACCTGTATGAGCAGAGTTTAAATGATGTCATGTCATCTGTATGAGCAGAGTTTAAATGATGTCATCTGTATGAGCAGAGTTTAAATGATGTCATGTCATCTGTATGAGCAGAGTTTAAATGATGTCATGTCACCTGTATGAGCAGAGTTTAAATGATGTCATGTCACCTGTATGAGCAGAGTTTAAATGATGTCATGTTACATCTATGAGAAGAGTTTAAATGATGTCATTTCATCTATGAGAAGAGTTTCAAATAATGGACATCAACCAGAGTAGAGTTCAACAAATACTACAGCTGTCTTGTGTTCCCCTCTGTTTTGTTTGTCATCTGACAAGCCCCCACACATATCACAATCTGTTATACCTGAATCCTCAAGACCTTTTATCAAGACGTTCTCCATCTTGTTGAAGTAAGGCAAGACATGTTGATAGTTCCAGTCAGGCACTCCCATATACTTGGCCCATCTGTCGTAGTCATGGCGAGAACCACGAGCATATATCATAGCATTGACACTACCAGAACCACCAACAACTTTTCCACGGGGCCAGAAGGAGCGCTGGGTTAAGGAAATTGGTTGCAATGCTCAGTAAATAGTTACTATTTTAATAAGTGCATGTACCAAGTTAAATCATTAATCATTTAAAACATTGTTAGCTCTATTATCTTTTTGTGTCAAAAAGAATATTTGCATTCAAATTTAAAATCTCATCTTTTTTTGCAATTTTGAATAAATCCTATCCAATTATCCAGTGGCGTAGCCAGGAATTGGTCATGGGAGGGGTTCAAATATTCTTCCATGTACACAAAGTCATATATGAGTCCATGGGAGGGGTTATAATCCCCTAACCCCCACCCCCCCTTGCCTACGCCACTGCATTTATCCATAATTTCCATTTGATATTGAGCATCTAAAATTGTGTTACAATTTTATGAAAGCCATTTAAAACTTCAAATATATTTTTGTTGGGATTAAATTAATAGGATGAATTGCTGAATATTGTGATGCAGGGTTAAGGCAAAGTTAACAACACATCATTACTCATAGGCCTACTGTAGAGTTAAACTGTTTGATTTAAATGCATTTTAATGATATCCATAAACCTATTAACTTAAAATAAAATAACTGATAACCCTTTTAAAAATTATTATAAATCTAACATTACAACCCACAGTACTTTAATTATGTTATGAAAATTAAAAAATAAACAACATAAAATTCTAAAATATTAAAAAATCTGGAGATGCTTACACCATCTTTCAAGCCACCCATAACATCTCTCTGAGGTTCTGAGTAATACGCCCAGTCTATATCAGTTTTGAGAGTGAGAGGGGCATATCCTGGCGTATCTATCAAAGGGTCACCCACGTCACTGCCCCCTGCCTCCAGCACTAAGACCGTCACATTAGCAGATTCTGACAAACGATTGGCTAGTACACAGCCCGCTGATCCAGCTCCCACTGAAACGAAGAGGGTCCTTCATTAAAATATTGAGGACCACTTCATCTAACCACTTATCTATTAAAGTATATAAAAAACTAAAAATGTTCATGTTTGGTTCTTTTTTCCACTGCTTATATCTTTAAATACTTTAATCATTCCAATTGTAAAAACAAATTACAAAGACAATTAAACTTTGCAATCAAACATGAATTTAATCAACTGAATTATTTGTAACATACCAATGATATAGTCATAAGTTGTATTCAGATGTGAAACCCAAGGTTCTTCCTTGTCTATGTAATAGGTTTTAAAAATAATAGCCACTGCTATTAGAAAAATAATATTTAATTCAACTGCCATTCTGATTTTTATTTGCAATAATTGTTGGTCTATATTTTACACTTGTTTTTAATCAATGATCATGATCTTGTTTTTCTGTGAATAGAAAGAAGAAGATTATAAAAAGAGCAAACCAGAGTAATAGATGTGTTCACATCATTAAAATATGATTTCAAAGGCTGTAGCTCATCATGAAGCAGAACTCATTACTCTATTATTAAACTTTGATTGAAGAGAGTTAGATCTACAACTTAAGTCAACACACAACACAACTCTAGCTGGATCAATATCTGTAACTATTAGTGTGTTGACTGCTAGCATTAAATGATTGATTGCAATAATTAGAATTATATATTTTCTATATGATATAGAATAATAGATCTAAGTCTCTATATTTTTTTCACTTTCAATTGTTTGTGGAGGGAGGGGGGAGTAAACATGGGTTGTGGGCACTATATCTCTATATATACATATATATTATATTATATATATATATATATATATATATATATATATATATATATATATATATATATATATATATATATATATATATATATATATATATATATATATATATATATATATATAATATTATATTATAGTTTCTGAAACTGAAATGTTTTCAAAAGTATTGTCTTTAATCTGTAGTGAATCTAAGAGCATGTATCAGAACAGAATGTTAAGAGTAGACCTTATTATTTAGTTTAACACAAATCATAAAATACAAAATATCTCAGAATGTGAAGGAGTACATCCATAAGCCTAGGCAAGGGCATGAAGTGAGTAGCACTGGCACTTTTAACTAAGGGAGTTAAAATACTTAAAAAGTTAAAATTAAAAGCTACTTTTTTTTTTGCACAGACATAAGGCCCTACTATTGATTCTCGGACTGATTATTGAAACATTTAATATAAGCCCTAGGCTATATAAATTAATTTTACGGTTTTAAGAGTTAAAATAACATTTCAACATAGAATCTACATTTACAGAATCTTTAAAAATACCTGAACGTCGCTAAAGAATTTGTAATATGATTTTTCTTAGTAGCCTTGTAGTCTGCAAAAATAGGGGACACAACTCTCCCGATAATAAAGCATATCGCGAGTTACCTTTCACAACGACTGAAATAGAAAGTTTTATGGCCTGATTTAGCGTTTTTATTTAGCTAGTACTTGAACACCCCTAACATTTTTGGGTGGGGTGTGGTGTCTACGGCTAAGCAGAACGAATGGGCTCTAGCCAAATCCATGTACCGTGTTCCGTGTTAAAATAGGATGTATCTTGCTCAGCTGATCCATGTAACGTGTATGCTACAATGAAATCTAAAAAAATAAACAAAAAACTTCCAGTTTTTGGGAACACAATGCGTGCGCACACCCATCAGAAAATTATTACTCTTCTTATCGTAGTCTAAATGTCTATTTTTCAGTTTTTCTTTTAACGACTGTCATATAAGGCTTTTAAATAAATACAAAACTGACTATAAAAAAGTAGGGTTGCCAGGTGTCCAGTTTTGAACTGGACAGTCCAGTATTTGAGAAGACTGTCCAGGATAAAATAAATATAAATACTGGACAGTTATTAAACTTGTCCAGTATTTATATTTCTTCTTCTGCTTTGCGGCATACCTGAGAAGGGAAGGATGGAAAGGTGTCCAGTATTTTCGGAAAAGTTATCTGGCAACCCTATAAAAAAGGGGTAGGTATAATGATAGGTGATGTATGTGTGTGTGGGGGGAGGGGGCAAATTAAGTTGATGTGTGTTTGGGGGGGCTAATTAAGTTGATGTGTGTGTGTGGGGGGGGGGGGGGGGGGGAAACGACGACAAATTAAGATTTTAGTTTTTGTGGGGGAGCGGCAAATTAAGTTTTTGTGTGTATTTGGGGAGGGGGGGGGGACAAATTAAGTTGATGTGTGTGTGCGTGGGGTAGGGGCAAATTAAGTTGATGTGTGTGTGTGGGGGGGGGGGGGTGGACAAATTAAGTTGATGTGTGTTAGGGGCAGTGTTTCTTCCAGACTTTTTTCTCTGGGGGGGGGGGGGGGGGGCACTTGATATTTTCAGGGGTAGGGGCGGTCAACATTTTCCGGGGGTGGACGGGGGTGGACACTAGTAAAAGTATATGTTTATCTTATTAGTTCCATCTCGTTCGGGGGGGGGGGGGGGGCGGTAGACTTTCTTCGTTGGGGGGGGGGCTTGCCCCCCCCCCCGAAGAGATGCCTGGAAGAAACTCTGGTGGGGGGGGGCAAATTAAGTTGATGTGTGGGGGGATGAAGTTGATAGGTGAGGTGGGTGAAGCTGGGCACCAGGTATAGTAGACTGAGATCGATTTTCAATCAGTGTTCGATCTAGTCTTGACCACTAGTTTGCGATCAATGCCCGTCATAGAGTGGTGCAGATGCTGTATTTTGATGGGATCTGTATCTGCTAATTTTAAACAACCCAGCCCTATATAGCCTAAAACTTTATCCTTGAAATAGTAGCCTACTTGGCGCACTATATCGGGCCCAATAAACATTGTAAGAAAGAGATTCGCGGGTCCCGATATTAAACCGCGGCCATGATCTGTTAAGCAAGGTCAAGGTGATATCACAACACTGTATCCGGGATATGACAATCGGCAGTAGACCATTTAGTTTGACAGGTCGTGTTTGGGCTACGATTGAGTGGGTAGGCTTGTTTACAACCCGTAACAAAGTGCACATTCCAAAAACCAGATCCAGCCTATGAACAAAGACGCGAGGCGGGGGGTTGGGGGGGGGGGGGGGGGAATAGAAAAGACGCGGGGTGTAGTTTTCATCAAGGTGCATGTGGACGTGGCACTTATTACACTACTTCTCACCTTAGACCAGTTTCTGCCTAATATTGGACCCGTTTCTGTTAAATTATAATACTTTTTTTTGAGGGGAGGTGGCTGAAACTGGTGAAAGTATATAGTTTCTGTATAAAGTCTTATTCAAGGGGGGGGGGGGCAGTAACGTGCTTCGGGGAGGGGGGTGCAAAAGATGCCTGAAAGAAACTCTGTCAACAGAACAACTTTCGTCATATTTCGGTGACCAGCAATCTTTATTGTGAATGCCATACTACCTCATATGCTTGATGACATTCTGAATGCCATACCACATCAGTTGCTTGATCTGAATGCCATACCACATCAGTTGCTTGATAACATTTCAGAATGTCATACCACATCAATTGCTTTGATGACATTGTGAATGCCATACCACATCAGTTCCTGATGACATTCTGAATACCATACCACATCAGTTGCCTGATGACATCGTGAATGTCATACCACATCAGTTGCTTGATGAAGTACAAGCTGAAGTAAAGAATGTGATTGAGTTGGCTGCTTAGTTTTTCTTTCTTTAGATCTTGCTTTCTTTGTTTTCGAAATTCCTTTCCAGATCTAGAGCCCCCCCCCCCTCCCACACTTCCCCCATACCTAAACACCGCTTTGATGTTTAAGCAAGGGTCTAGTCAAGTGACGTAACCTTGACTGGGTTCACGGATGGATCAAAATGAAAAGAAATATTTGCCTTACTGCAGCTGCAAGAAGTGTGGCCAACTCCTACTATTGTACACATAGTCCATACAGCAGGGGTGGCGGGTAACTGAGAGCCTCACAACAAAGGCGATTGGAAGATTTTACAATCAACACTACACCAAGGACCTCTGCTTGCAAGACTCGACTGTGAGTATATTACACTTTACCACCTTTTGTTTCAACTTCAACTACCAGCGTGGTTCCTATATTTCCAGGAAATAATATTACTTGGCCATAGAGATAAACAAAATGATGTTCGTAAAATATTACAGTGCTTGATTTACAGATATGTGTTAAAGGATGAGTTGTGTCATTCTTTCCCTCTCTATCTTTCTCTCTCACACACGCACACACACGCATACATACACATAGATACACACACTGAGAGATGACTTTGCTTAGTTAGTTAATCTAGGAAAATAATGACATCATTATGGGAAAGTCAGAGACAAAAGTATTTTTAAAACTAGGTGCAACCTTCATACTGATTTGTTTACATCGGGAAAATCGCATCATTGTTTGCGTTATCTTCCTGATTATATTTGTTTTATTGTCTAAATCGGTTAATGACTTTAGCATGTTAGTCTGGCTTATGGTATTGTTTTGTGAGTTTATCTGTTTGATAATCTCCTTGATCGATTTGATACAAAATACTGACATTTGTCACCGTCTACTTATACACCTGTCACAGACATGACGCATACATATGACACACCTGTCACAGAAATGTCACAGACAACTGACACACCTGTCACAGACATGACACACCTGTCACCAATACGGCCTTTCCTGCTAGATTAATGACACTACATCAATCAGTGAGTAGATCCTTCTTGTGATACAAACAAACGGGAACAAATGGCAACAAACGACTTAGAACAATCTACAGACAACCCACACCTCCATATAACAAGTTACATATAGACTAAAACTATTTAAATAAAGATTCCCCCCCCCCCCCCACCTGACAGTAAAACACAATACACATGTTTCAGACAAAAAAAATCTTGAAACTGAAACGAGAAACTGAAACCACTGAACTTAATCCAGAGAGGTTAGTCTTTAGCCTCCCCCCGCCCCCCCCCCCCCCCCCCCCATTTAGGCCGCTGACAAGAGCTTTCCAGACGTCTCTGTTCAGGGCTAGTCTCTCCAACTGTCCTCAGGTTTCCAATCTTCTTGGTGTCTTCTTCCGGGTCACGTCTCCAGATCTTTCTTGGTCGACCTTGTTTCTTTTGCCCTATGGTTAATTAGATTTTGTAATCAACGCGAAACGTTTGAAATAGTGGAAAATGTTAACTTGAAAGTTCAAACTTTCATCCGTTGTAATTAAACATAAATAATTGTGCGTTAATAACTATTTATTGTATTTGAATTAGCACATACTAATAAGTGGTGAAAATATGGCTACTGTTTTTAAATAATTTAAAAATCTCACAATTGATCTCAGTAAGACCTCTACTTTAGAACCATTGG